CGCGATATATTGCCTTGCTTACAGTATCGCAATACTGTATATCGGGATATATCGTATCGTGACCCCTCTGTCATGATATGTATCGTATCGCCAAATTCTTGCCAATACACAGCCCTAGTAACGACCCTTGTTCTGATTTTTTTGGCTCACGTCTCTGGTTTCTCTCCTGAACGGCACTTCACTCCTTCGGACTTCCTGGAAAACGACCTACGCCTGTCCCACGGAAACAAGAACCTTGCCTCCTCCCTCAAACTCAAATTTGCACTTCGAATTCTTGTGTATGACCCTTGCCTGCCCAACGACCCATTCTCAGTCTCTCGGATCCCACCCGAAAACAGAGACGTCACCGCCTCGCTCCGGAACCAAAGCAACTCTGTCAGTGTTTCTTCACGGACTCATTCAGCAAAGAACAGTTAAGTGGCTTTGGTTAATGTTAATATCATTTACCAGTCTTGTCCCGCCACTAATCCTGTTTCTCTATGTCCAGAACTGACTGACCCGGATCTGCTGCTAAACCAAAGAAACGTCAAGTTTTTGTTTAACTATAATAAATGGTTAAATCTTCCTTTGTGGTCCGGCCTTTTATCAGAGCTCAATTCTAACTTCCTAACAATTATTTAGGCATTACATTCATTTTAAGAACATTTATTTTAYCTATTAAAGACATTGGGGTAGACGTCCATCTAACCAATAAATCTGAAATTTCTTGTATTAATGGTTCATAATTATTGGCTGAAATATACTTAAGTCATGGTACAATTTGGATGCCAAGTATGTAAAACGATCTACAAAATTCAATTAAGTAACTATTTTTGGGAGGGTTTTGCCTTTCTAGATGGTTTAAGAGTAGTATTGATGATTACATATTTAACTTATACCCTGAGATTTTGCCAAATATCTTAACTTCTATAAATTTTATAGCCAYAATAACAAAGTGGATAAGGGATCTTCTTGTCTACATCCTCTTTGTATCTCAATACTTTTAGAAATATTACAGTTGGTCACAATTTCTGCAAATGACACCGTATATAAAGTAATTTTATCCATTTGGTAAAGTTTTCTCCATAATTATWTTGTACAAGAACTTCAAATAAGACCATTCAACTCTGTCRAAAGCTTTTTCAGYATCTAATGACAGTATTGCTAAGCTGACAGGAAATTTAAAAAAATGACAATGTGTTACTGTAAGGCACTGTTTAACACTGACTATAGGAGTRGTCRCCAACCTTTTTGAGACTGAGCTACTTCAAGGGTACAGAGGAACACGAAGGRTTACTKGTTTGATACATTCTTATAGTATTAATAAAAATACATTTACGTGTGTGAATATTTGACTGGCTGAATGTCCCTGTGATGGACTAAAGACCTGTCCARGTGTCCCCTGCTTTCACCCAAACCCATCTGAGACAGGCTCCAGCTTCCACCCAGACTCTGATTAAGAACTTGGAGGACAGAATGGATGGACAAATTTTTTATAGCAGGAAACAAATATTTAAACATAAAACAGTCTATTTTTTGCTAATCTGAATCAGTAATGTTTGAAATTCAGTGTATTTTGTTTGACAGTTTTGTAGAAATGAACACATTTGTAATATTTATTCAAAATAAACCTGTTCCTTATTAATTACCAACTGTAATGTTTTTATAAAGAAACTAACTATAAAACCTTCAAATCATAGGCCCTTCCCTCTTTGTATTAATCATTGTCTTTGTAAAACCTCAGAAGAACTCTAACTCTTGGGAAATACCACTTATGTAATACAAAAACAACTATAAAAAACTTTTATYCAATCACTGAAAATAATTTGTTTTGCTGCTCTGGGAGGTAAAGGGTTAATGTTCAAGGGGGCTGGTAGGTGTGTGTGTGGGACAGGGAGATGGGATAGAGAAGCTTTTCTGAGAGCTATATGGCTGTATCAGCACCTTGTGTTACCTTTTTTATGTTTCATTAAACTCTACAGAGTTCACTGATCACTATGACTCATTTTGTGYACGATGAGGGGCATTGCAATAGTTTTTAGCTTCACTGCTCAATTATGACGAGTGAGCGACGTCCTCTCTGATTAACGTTAGCCCGGTTGGGAGGCATGTAAAGCCTAGTGGCCACCAGCTTAATAATGCACTATGGCAGGAGTTTTCAAAGTGTATGAGCGTAAGCCCTCCCCTGAGAGAGCAAACAAACAACTGCGCCACACAACAGAAATCCAGTTGCTTCATTTTAGTTCTTTTCATTCCCCATGTCCTGGATGATGAGAATCTACAGATGATGCTAAGTTACAGTCAGACCTCATCAATACTAACGGGTTGGAATCGATGCTTAAGCTTATTTTACTTTCCACTCCAAAAATAAAATGCAGCGCCAGAGAATCCGTCAAGAGGCAAGATTAAAAGTAACCTAACAACGAATGCGTGTGACACAGTGGTGTGCCGTCAGGGCCAGCAAAGCGTTCTCTGCTGGTCTAAACACAATCAGAATCACTACATTTTAGAACATTTTACATTTTTATAATAGTTATTAATATTATTATAAGGATATTAT